ATATACATATATATATATATATATATATATATATATATACATATACATACAGTATATATATAGTGCTGTGAAAATGTTTTTGCCCCCTTCCTGTTTTTTTATTTTTTGCATGTTTGTCACACTTAAATGATTCAGATCATCACACTACTTTTAATATTACACATAGATAACCCAAGCAAATACAAAATGCAGTTTTTAAATAATGATTTTATTTAAGGGAAAAAACTGACGTTCTTTTTATGAAATGCTGTGTTGGTTTAACGCCAGATGTAACGGGTCACACACCTTCCAAAAAGTTCAACTTTTGTCTCATCAGTTCGCAGAATATTTGCCCAAAAGTCTTGGGGATAATCAAGATATTTTTTGCCAAATGTGAGATGAGCCTTTGTGTTCCTCCTGGATGAGTCGTCGTTGCGCTCTTGGAGTAATTTTGGTAGGTCGGCCACTTCTGGGAAGGTTCACCACTGTTCTAAGTTTTCTCCATTTGTAGATAATGGCTCTGACTGTGGTTGGCTGGAGTCCCAAAGCCTTAGAAATGGCTTTATAACCCTTTCCAGACTGATACATGTTTTGATCATAAACTATTTTCATGATCAAACTATCATGAACTCTTTAAGTATGCTTCACTTTGTCAGACAGGCTCTATTTAAGTGATTTCTTGATTCAACAAGTCTGGCAGTAATCAGGCCTGAGTGTGGCTAGTAAAATTTAACTCAGCTTTCTAAAATACTGTCGTTAATCACAGTTCTTTCATGATTTAACAGGAGGGGGCAATTCATTTTTCACATAGGGCCAGGTAGGTTTGGAAAGCTTTTTTCCCTTAATAAATAAAATAATCATTTAAAAACTAGCGAAAACATTAAGTGTAACAGGGACATGAATATATATATATATATACTGTATATAACTGCCTCCTCATTTTAAACACCAACGCACGCCACTGATATCTATATATATATCTATATATATATATAAATAATTGTATTCTATTATTTTAAAAGCATAAGTGGGTGGTCACACTATTGTACTCCAATTCTAATTTCTAATTTGTAAGATCCTTCAGATAAAGACACCTATGAATAAATATGAGGGTCATTGCATTACCTGGTGTTGTTGGCTCTGCCCTGAGGAGATGGAGACTCTCTCTTGACGGTGGGGCTGTGCTTAATAACAGAGGATTTCTGATCTACCAGCGCTCTGGGGGCTCGAGCACCTACAACAGATCATTCACTTCATCAGACTGGATATAGACCTTATATGTACGAATGTGTGTCACATGAAACCTGCTTCCATTTGTCAACACCCACCCATTAACCAATCACCAACCTATCCACCTCTACATACACAAACACACTCACAAATAAAGCATGAATTTCTTTAAAATTCTTTAGTAAACAATCCACTTGAAAACACACATCTAATAAACACCACAGCAGAAACACAAAGACGACAGCATTAAAACACAGTGCAGTCTAAGGCCTCTACACAGATGTTTTAACCCTGTGTCCGGTAATAGTATAGAATCAATAGAAGTAAAGGGCAACACACATACAGCTTTTAACAGACTCACACACACGCTCAAGCAACTTGCTAATATTCTTTTGCACCTCAGTTTTTTGGACACTGCAGTTAGGGGGTATACCATGACTAATGATGCTAACGTTGACAGTTATAGGAGCGACTGAAGGACTGGAGCAGTAAGGAGACCTACAGGAGCAATGACGCTGGTTGGAGCAAACACACAAACACATACACACACACACACACAGGCAAAGAACAGAGTGAGAAAGATGAGTGAGAAACAGACTGCATGGCAACAAGAAACACAAAAAAAAAAAAAAAAAAAAAAAAGCCCTATCGGTTCAGATGATCATACTACACACACTTAGCTGTGAGTGTACGGCAACAGCACATACACTAACACACAGTGTGTGTGTCTATACAGCCTCTGTGCATTCATCTGAACATTTACATGCGTAAAGCACAACCGGTGCATGGATGGTTTGTGCCGCATACAAGGGCATTAACAGATGGACATCTTCACACACATTTCACACTGTGTCGTTAGATTGCACGTTAGATTTGGCCAGGGAATATTTTCAGACAAGACTTACATGCCTCATAATGAAATCTGAATAATTATATGTCATTACAAACTTGCCAAAGAAGTTATTTTAAATAATCTCACAAGAATAAAGAGCAAATACATGAATTATGAATTCAAGGCTGCTAGGAAGATGCAGACATTTAAATAACAATGGCATTCTCCATCTATAAAATCCAGCGGACAGCTTCTGTTTGGAGCCCCATCAGTTATGTGACTCAGTGCACTCTTCTGTAATTAACTGCATAGGGTAAAAAAAGTTCAAAAAGTAAGATTTATTTTAAGGAAATCAATAATTTTATTCAGCAAGGATGCAATAAATTGATCAAAGTAAAGACATTTATAATGTTACAAAAGATTTCTATTTTCTTTTTTTACCAAACTTTCTATTCATCAAAAAAAAAAAAAAAAAAAAAAAATCATTAAAAATGCACCACGGATTCCAACAAATATAAAAAATAAACAAATATTTACCAGTGCAATAGTTTTCAACAGTGACAATAATAAGTAATGTTTCTTGAGAACCAAGTCAGCATATTAGAATAATTTCTGAAGACTCATGCCCTGAAAACTGGAGTAATGGCTGCTGAGAATTGATAATAAACTACATTTTAAAATATATTAAAATAGAAAACCAAAAATAGTATGAAATAGTTCATTTAAATTTTAACATTACCGTATTTAAATATAGTGTATTTATTGTATTTTTTATCAAATAAATGCAGCCTTTGTGACCAATAAAAAAAATCTTACTATCCTTAAACTATAATGTATAGTCAGAAGGTCAATATGGGAAAAACACAGGTGGGATGATCAGGACCCAATTGTGGCTCAGAACAATCTTCAATAACCATGAGTCTGTTTATTTTGCGATAACGACTGACTAATTGCACCTTTTTTCCCCGCAAAATCAATACATTTATTTTCAAATAAATAAGATAGTCAAAGTAGCCACTTTCTGCATAGATCTGCACATTCTGGACATTTTCTCATCCAACTTCATCTCATTTTTAGGATAATCCATAATTCAAATGCTGCCTAGAGCTTAATAAGCCTCAGTGAAATCATCAATCTCTCTAACCTGCACTTTTCCCAAACTTTCTATATAACATAGCATAAGTCCTTTTCGTTTTTACATTACAGGTCCAGTCCATCAACAGAACACATGACATGTGAAACAAAAGAGTCAAACGATTACAATCACAGTGACTGACATCTGACATTAGGAATAAGGAAGCAATGGTGGAACAGGATGCTGGGAGATGTAGCTGACTGGCTTTGGAGAAGAATGCAGCTCACGCAGCAAAGGGCAGAACCCACCTTCTCCGCTCCCCGGGCCGATCTCTGTTACAATCTCCATTAGAGAATTTAGCCCAAATACTGGACACAGAAGCCAGAATTAGTGCAGGGGGTCAAAGAGGGGACAGAGAACAACAACGGCCCAGACAGAACCAGTCCAAACATCAACCCACAACCACAAGCACCGGACACATGTACATATACAACAGAGAAAACCAGCAGAGAGCATGGAATATGAAAAACAGAGAAAAAGAGAGAAAGCATATAAGCATATAAGCATTATAGAAAAATATAAGCATTTCAGACTTCCATTTGGTCAGAATAGCTTGTGATTTGGGAAGTCTTGATTAATTGCGATTACATGTGATTAATGATAGAATGAAGCCATTCTACAAAACTCCATTCATAAAAAGAACAAAAACTAAATGGCATATACCATGGCATATAATAAGCAGAAATATTATTTAAAACATGCTTCAGCTCTATATAAGTAAATTGTGATTTTAAAAATAATTTATAAATTAACTGAAATATTTGTATTTTTAAAGTTGCCATGTAATTAAAAATGTCACTATTTTGAAAATGCATGTTATACATCTTAACTTGAACAATTAATTTGTGCATGTTGTCATTTTTACATTTTTTATTTTTTTTAATCAAATGTCATAACTGAAAACACCTTCTCTTAGGTGACCAAGCAAGACTTCTCTAATCATTTAGTCCAATTAAACATAACAAAATCGACTGCAAGTTGCATTATTCTTAAAATCCAATCCATAGCAATCAATGAGCAGAACCAAGTCCCCATTTTATTATTTTTTCCCCCCAATAATTCATTATATTGGGATGTACAATCCAGATGTTGCTCCTTCCGTTTCATCACAACTTTAAAGGAATGATCACATTCAACATGACATGAAAACTAGATTAATTTCTCTCAGTGTGAGTTTTTAAAATCAGGATAGTCATAATTCTTTGCTTAATATTGTTATATCATATTTGTATTTCCTGTGAGTTTTGATGCTGTTTGAGAAATCTGAAATCTGAAAAGGGCAAAAAATTACTTTTAGGAGACAGCAAAGGGGGCACATTTTTTAACAGAATTATATTAAATTGATTATTTTTTTATTGTTAACAAAAACAAGGCTAAAAGCACCTTCTTCAAATTGGCACAGTAAAACTGCTGGAAGGACTGTCTGGTCGAAGGGTGTGCGTGTGTGTTTACTGAACATTAAAAGAAAAAAATCATTACCAGTCGACATGCTAGCTGGAATGCAGTGTGCTTTCGTGTCCTGGAGTGCTCTATTGGTTTTCTCCTGTACCCAGCTTTAAAAGCAGCAATACTACTGCTCTGCTTAAAGCGCCACAATATCTGTGCGCATAGAAGCTACAATCCTTGACATATCATCGATTTATTTTAAAACACCTACACAACCACCAGACTTCAAAGTCTTCTTTATCGAGACTTTGGTGGAAACCCATCTACCAAGTTTAGTAGAAACTACATTTCAGTTCTGAAGCTGATCAGAGCTTGAAATGTACTGAGTGGCTGCACTTCTCCCAGCGTGGTTTTGTTATCTTCAATTCACCCAGAGTTCAGGTGGAATTGAAATGGAACAGACCTCAACTCTGTCTCCAACTGAGATGACACACAAATAAAGGAAAAAAAACACTGCACACAACACAAAGAGCAGTCAAAAATCATCTCATTCCATTCCTACGGAAACATCCTTTCTGTATAGAAAGAAAAAGGTTTTGAAATGCAACCACAAACTGGCTGTTGTCTATTAAGGTGCCACCATTATTATGTTCATTACTAACAATCACAATAGGAGGAGAATAGGAGGAGGAAAGGCATAGTGGATATATGTGAGCACAGATATATCCTCTATCTTAGAGGTTCCAAACTGCTGTCCCACAAGATTTTATTTTCCAACCCTGAAATAGCACACATTATCAGTTCATGACAAGTGCTGTTTGGCGCTATAGTTGAGATTCAGGGGTGTAAAAGGAAGCATCAAGGACAGGAGTTAGGAGTTTCTCATTCTCTCAGGACTCAAAGGGTCTATATTACTATAAACAGCAACTGGTTTCATCATTAGGGCAGGCTACAGATATGAAACATACCAGGACTCTCAGGACTGTCATCAGCATCGTCTGAGCAATACAATCATTCAAAATCATAAACAAACAGAAAATAAAGTCAACAATAACAACAATATGCCACTATTTTCCACTAAATCAGTTTCTTCACAGTGCAAAAAGGAGGCAAGATATTCATCACTTTCAGGGCAGCAACACTGGATAAAAGACATGTGGGGCAAAGAAATCAGGCAACATTCCCACAAACCTTGATCTGTGTCCTCTGTTAAATCAAAATTAAAATATTCTTTAAAAGAAATACAACAAATCATAAAGGAAGAAGAGGAAAAAGTAGAACAATGAAAAGGTTGGAGCCTTTCTAAACCTAATGCCTGTACTAAACAGATGTAGTGTTAGTCTTCCTTAAACTACAGAATTACTGTAGTAGAATTAACATCTACTTATTTGACCCTTAAATTACTTGAATTCAGTGGAAGTTATATAACAAGTTCAATCTAATTGGAGTGATTCAACCATTAGTCACACTGCCTTCGTAAAGCCAGAGGTAAAAAAGAAAGATGAGGAAAGGATTTGGAGAGAAGGAGAGGAGGAAGAAGAAGAAGAATAGAAGAGAACTGGACTAGACTGGAAAAATGAGACGGGGCGAAATGGGTGGATAAGCGAGAAGGTCGCACGGAGAGATCCGAGAGGATGTATGTACCTTTGAGGCTGGGGAATGGCGTGTTCTTCTCTCGAGCTTTATTAGGCAGAGCCAGACTGGACAGACTAAAACTGGTGCCATGGTTTTTATACAGGTTACCTGCACACATACGATTAAGGTGAGACGTACAACAGGGAACACACATTTCTGTGTAACACTGTGTCCTAACTACACGCGACAAGCAATTTGGGTGCCCACACTAGACGTGACGTGGCACCGCGACCTGACAGAATCAATCAAATATCACAGCCAATCAGAAGCGTGAGTGGGCGGGCTCTCTCTGGAAGCGTTCTGCACTCGCAACGAAATGGATAAGTTTATAATCCAATTCATAAATATTAAACCTTTTTAACATTACTAAATGTACATACTGAGTGACTGATACCATCTTTGTTATGGAATACGCTTGTTGGTTCGCAGTGAGTCACAGTTTTAACGGACATTTTTGCTTTAATTTATTATTTGAGGTAAACTGTCTGTTGTTGCTTTAAGTATGTCTATAAATGCCACGCAATATGATAGTCAAACTCACATTAGACACTTTTAACATTGAATAAAGCACATAATCTGTATTTGAGATTATCACTTTCATTAGTTTGTATGTTGTTGTTCTAGCCGCGACGTCGTGGAAATAGAAACCGTTTCTAAAATAGAAATTTCATGTGTCGTCGTTGTGGCTAGTTAGGACAAAACCTCAGATTAACATGGAAAAGATACCTTTAATCGCATGTCGCGGCGTCGTGTGTAGTTAGGACACGGTGTAATGCAGTACCAATACCAGACATTTCAATAGTCAGTGTCAATACCAGTGAACTTTTACAATGTTCAAACCCTTAGCAAATGCTAAAATTCCACTGAAGATATTCTGATATTTAAAAAGTCAATATTAATATACACCATTGCTCAAAGCTTGTTTTGGAAACAAGGCACCTATGCTCACCAAATCTGCATTCATAAAAAAAATAATAATAATAATAATTATA